GGCGCAACTGGACAAGGCACGCTACTACTATCAGCTAGTTCTTGAGCGTTCATCAGCAACAACAGGTGACAGCCAGCATCACCGCCACCAGGCGAGACACAATTTGTGTGTTCTTTGGGCTAAAGGTGGCAATTTGGAGGCGTCAATCAGCTGTTTTGAAGCGCTGAAAAGTGATTTGCAGCTGCAGCAGCATCCTCAGCCTCAGCTAGAGCAACAACAACAGCAACCTCGATCATTTGTTGATGATCTGCAGATTGATCGGCAGATTGAAGTGCTTCAGGCGGCGGTAGCAGAGGCAAAGATGCGCACAGATGAGCACCAGTTGGGCTCATCACATGTTTTAAGTAAACAGATTCAGAAAAGTGATAAAAACAAAACCAGGCCAGTGACCATAAACAAAGGCCGCTACTGCGTCAACGAGTCTCGTGAGGAGGCAAATCAGGCTGCCTCATTCCCAAAAGCCCATTTCACCGATTCCAGTAAATGGATTGATGCAAACACCAAAACCCTTTCGGGTAGCTCGATGTGCTTAAATTGAAACAAAAACTCTTGTTATTGCAAACTCATCACGCTGATATATCTTCTTTCTTATTTTAAAACATCTATTTTTAATCTCTAAATCTATTTTTTTTGTTAACTCCTTTAAACTTTTTTTATCATCAATCAAAGCTGTTTTTATTTTACTAACTCCTGTTTTGCCTGTCACTGCTAAAAAGCTTACCGTTAAAACCTGAAAACTACTTTTTTAAGCAAAAAACCAATTTTATTTTTAAATAAAATCAAAACATTTTTCAATAATCAATTTACCAAAAATGTGAATGCTCAGTTTTAAAATTCTTAGAATATTTCACTTTTAATCCGTTTTTCGAACATTTCATCTTTTGACTTGTAAAAAGCTGCATAACCGGCTGCACTACCGTCATTAGATTTCATTTATGCTTAGCTGTTACTGTTTAGTTTTATGAAATTTTGTCAAAATGAGATTCTACTTTTCTGTGCCTCTTGTCGATGCTTGCCATCTGATGATGATGATGCTACTGTTGCTCTCAGCACTGGCCACTTTGGTTGTCAAAGCTGCAGATGATGCAAAGATTGACGCCAATGTATGTCTTTTTTTTGGACTGTACAACTTTCCCGCTAACTTCTTTCCTCCCTTATAGTCAGTGGTCAATGACTTGCAAAATGGAAAACGTGTCATTTTTGCTGTGGGTCTTGTTAACTCAAAGATGACCCTTTTCATCAGTGGCCCTGGTGGCAAGTCTGACGTTGCTTCAGGATGCACTGTGCAAGTAGATGAAAACCAAAACGGTGTTTTTAAGATTACCAATCCGCCATCAAAAATGCCCAATGGAGTCAGCAGTGCTGAAGTCATCTTTGTCTGTGTGGATACGTCTGGAAGTCTTTTGATGACAATGAGCAGTAGAAGTATTGGTGCAATCAAACTGCCTGATGGTGGAACTGTAAAGACGGAAATAACAAAAAAATTGCCAATTGAAGTCTGCTATGATGATGGAAGCATTCATCTATCATCAAACACACCTCTACATTACTATACTATTAGTTCTAATGGAGATGTGAAACACCCAAACTTTAATGGAAAAAATATTTTATCTTCAGAAAACTGTGACTCTGGAGGAATTTCTAGTAAACTATGCGTCAATGGCGACAAGATAACCGTTAAAGAAGACTGCCAAGGCTCAAGCATTTCCAACCTCGTCTCTGGCTATGTGGACGGCAGCACTGCCTACCTTTTCGGCAGCGACAACATCGTCTACACTTTTGATGCCAGCGCCTTTAAAGGACAGTCAGTTGATCTGAAAAGGGTCAGCAGCAAAGATGCTTGGAAAAGTTCAAGCAATGATCAGTCATCATCCAAACCAGAACCCAAAGCAGAGAGTAAGTGTTCACAATCAAACAGTGTTCAGTGTAACTTATTTTTTCACAAACTCCCAAATTATGATACAGCTACTAGCGCCACTGACAGCACTACCATCATTATCGTGGTGCTTTGCGTTCTGGGCTTGCTGCTGATCTTCCTCTGCATCATCGTCTACTGCTGCTTCTTCCGTGATGGCGGCGGAAAGAACGGTAAAAAGAAGGAAGGTGGACCGGCCACCAGTGGAAAAAATGAGAAGAGCAAAAAGAGCTCTAAAAAGAAGTCCACCATGAGCAAGGGCAATTCATTTGCCAGCAAGAAGGTTTCATCAGCTGCAGGCAGCCCAAAGAAGAAGAAGGGCAGCAAAGGCTCAAAGGGAAAAGGCTCAGTTGGCGGTAGTCGTCGCAGCTCGACCAAACTGCCGAAGAAGAGTGCCTCTCGAAAAATGGCTGTTCCTTCAGGTCGCACCTAAAGAAGGACTTTAAAGACGACTTTGAGCTCTCTGCCAGAGTCGTCGAGTCATTTTCAACTTCTTTTTCAAAATTTTTAAATTGTTAATTTTTGAGCAATTTTATCTTTCATTTTTCCCCTTTTCACAATTTAAACTTTTCGAACATTTCATCTTTTGACTTGTGAGTTGTGAAACGCTGCATAACCGCCTGCAATACCGTCATTAGCTTTCATTTGCGCTTTGCTGTTACTGCTTGGTTTTATGAAATTTTGTCAAAATGCGATTCTTCTTTTCTGTGTCTCTTGTTGATGCTTGCCATCTGATGATGATGATGCTACTCCTGTTCACCGCACTGGCCACTTTGATTGTCAAAGCTGCAGATGACGAAAAGATCGACGCCAATGTATGTCTTTTCACTGCACTGTACAACTTTCTCGCTAACTTCTTTTCTCCTTTATAAAAACAGTCTGTGGTCAATGACTTGCAAAATGGAAAACGTGTCGTCTTTGCTGTGGGCCCTGTTAACTCAAAGATGACCCTTTTCATCAGTGGCCCTGGTGGCAAGTCTGACGTTGCTGCTGGCTGCACTGTGCAAATGGACGAAAACAAGGACGGTGTCTTTAAGATTACCGATCCGCCTGCAAAAATGCCCAATGGTGTCAGCAATGCTGACGTCATTTTTGTTTGTGTGGATAAATCTGGAAGCCTACTGATGACGATGAGCAGTAGCAGTGTTGGTGCCGTCAAACTTCCTGGTGGTGGAACGGTGCAAACTAAAATTAAAAATCCAGCTAACATAGAAGTCTGTTATAAAGATGGAAGTATTCATCTGTCATCAAGCAAATCCCTCTACTACTACACCGTTAGCACTAGTGGAGATGTAGAAAAAAATCTTTTTAATCTAGACAGTATTGCGTCCTCTATAGCTTGCAATGTGAAAGATGTTACAAAAAAACTATGCGTCAATGGCGACAAGGTAACCGTCAAAGAAGGATGCCAAGGCTCAAGCATCTCCAACCTCGTCTCTGGCTATGTGGGCGGCTCTTCTGCCTACCTCTTTGACACTGCCAACACCGTCTACGTTTTTGATGCCAGTGCCTTTAAAGGGCAGTCAGTTGCCCTGAAAAAAGTGGCCAGCAAGGATGCCTGGAAGGGCAAAAAAATCGAACCGGACCCCGACGACGACGACGGTAAGTCCCACTTGCACTTCATCTCCATCATTTTCCGGTCTCAATAATCAACAACCCCAACAGACAACAAGCCCAAACCTGTCAGAATCAGCACTGCTGGGCGCTGGATGATCGGCGGGGGCGTCTTCTTTGTGATCCTCACCTGCGTCTTCACCGCTGGCTATATCATCTGGAATGAGGATCGCATCAAAAAGAACAAGGAGGAGAGGGAGAAGAAGCGGCGCGCCAAGGGCGGCTCCAACAAGCGCAAGAAGAGCGCCAGCTCGGGCAATAGCAGCAAGAGCAACAAGAGCAAGAGCAAAGGGGGCGGCGCCAGCAAGAGCAAGAACAAGAGCGCCAGCAAAGGCGGTCCAAGCAGCAGCAAGGGCGGTCCCAGCAGCAGCAAGGGCGGTCCTGGCAGCAGCAAGGGCCGCGGCCGCTCCGGCAGCAAACAGCGCCCCAGCTCGAGCAAGGGTGGTGGCCCCGCCCCCGCCCCCGCCCCCGGCAGCGGTGTCAAGTCGAAGGCGCCGTCCTCTTCGGTCAAGCCAGGGCCCTCCGCCAAGGCCAAGGCGGCTAAGGGTCCTCAGATCAAGTCGCCCTCATTTCCGCCCGTTCGCAAATGATGTTGCTCTTCTCCGTTTATTCGGGCATTATTCCCTCCCCTCCCCTCTTCTTCTCACCACTTTATTATCACACCTATGTCATTCGTTCACACACAGCTGTGTGCACTGCATTTGTATTTCTTGCACCCATTTTTCCTTGCCTGCTACACCCACCACCACTCTTTCTCCTATCTTCTCAGCGGCAATGTTTCTAAATTCATAATTACACAAAATTAAAATTACAAAATTCTAAGGCGTTTTTCAGTTTTTTGTCTCTGCNCCGTTTATTCGGGCATTATTCCCTCCCCTCCCCTCTTCTTCTCACCACTTTATTACCACACCTATGTTATTCATTCACACACAGCTGTGTGCACTGCACTTGTATTTCTTGCACCCATTTTTTTTCCTTGCCNCATTCGTTCACACACAGCTGTGTGCACTGCATTTGTATTTCTTGCACCCATTTTTCCTTGCCTGCTACACCCACCACCACTCTTTCTCCTATCTTCTCAGCGGCAATGTTTCTAAATTCATAATTACACAAAATTAAAATTACAAAATTCTAAGGCGTTTTTCAGTTTTTTGTCTCTGCTTCAAGCAGCGGTGAAACACACATTGTAATTGGGAAGAAGTTAGCAGTGGAAGAAGGTAGAAGGACAACAAAGCGAGAGAGGAAGAAAATGGAGGGGGAAAATGCAAAAATAAATACAAATGGTGACGAGACAATCAAAGGAGGTGCAAAAGTATCACAATTAATAAAAGTGGAAGTGGAGGAGGTGAACGAAAATGGAGGAATGCAAAACGAGTGTGGTAAGAACAAATGAGAGTGTGCTGTGAGGGAGTGAAAGAGTGAGAGTTCACGTGTGCTGGAGTTGGTGTGTGTAAATGGGTGATTGGTGCGTTTAGACGGCTTGAGTTTGCTGGTGACGGGCAAACATGATGAAAATTGCCTAGCAAGAGAAAAGAGGTTATCATTAGCAAACCAAACCAAAAAGCAAAATGGCTCACCTCGAGCGTCGTGTCGCTGACAAAGTAGTCCTCAAAGTGGAAGGTCTCATTGAGGGCGTTCATCTGCGTGAAGATGTTTGACCACGTCTGGGCGGTGTCGGTGATGTGGTAGTGCAGCAGACACTGGTGGCAGTCCTTGAGGACGGCCGAGGGCAGCACCCGGCCCATGGCCACCTGGATCTCGGTGAAGTACACCGTGTCCGATTCGTGCTCGCGCTTCAGGCGAATCGCCACGCTGTAGCCCTGGCCGTATTTGCTGCGCAGGTGCTGCGTGCTGCCCAGACAGCGGAATTTGCCGTTGACCATGATGGCGATTCGGGAGCAGAGGGCCTCGCACTCTTCCATTGACTATGATTTAGGAAAGGAGAAAGTTAGAAAATTAAAAAATAAAAAATAAACATACATGAGAGGTAAGCACGACTGAGCTCTTGAGACTACGTTTTACATAGCCCAGCGCCTGCCAGATCTTCCGCCGGGCGGCCGGGTCGACGCCGGCGCTCGGCTCATCGAGGAAGATCAGACTGGGACTGCCGATGAGGGCAATGGCCAGGCTGAGCTTGCGGCGGTTGCCGCCCGAGTACGTCTCCGAGACGTTGGCGTAGTGCTTCTCCAGGCCGACCATCTTCACCAGGTTCTCCACGTCGCGGGCCAGGCTGGCCTTGGGCACGCCGCGCAGGCGGCCAAAAAGGTAGAGCATCTCCTCGCCGCTCAGTCTGTGAAAGGGAAAAAATTTTAATTTTCCAAACCAATTTCATAAAATAGCTAAGTAGCACTTACTGTGGCGAGAGTGCGTCAAACTGCGGACAGAGGCCGATGCACTTCTGAAACTGCTGCATGTCCTCCGTCAGCGCAAACTGGCCCTTCTTGATGTACGCATTGCCGGAGGTGGGCATCAGCTCACCCTGAAACAAAAGATGGTGTTAAAATTAGAAAATGATAAAAAACCCCCAAAAAAATCATCTCGCACTGACCNGAGTGCGTCAAACTGCGGACAGAGGCCGATGCACTTCTGAAACTGCTGCATGTCCTCCGTCAGCGCAAACTGGCCCTTCTTGATGTACGCATTGCCGGAGGTGGGCATCAGCTCGCCCTGAAACAAAAGAGGATGTCAAAATTAGTTAATAATGAAAACCCCAAAAAGCGTCCTAGCACTGACTGTCAGCAGACTAAAGGTGGTGGTCTTGCCGGCGCCGTTCACCCCCAGAAAGCCAAAGACCTCGTCGTACTTCACCCCGAAGGAGATCTCATCGACGGCGGTGAAGCCGCCAAAGTCCTTCTTCAGCTTGTGCACCGTCAGCAGGTCGGTCATGTGGCGGCGGTTGGCCACCTCCTCCTCGACGCGGGCCACCTCCCGCTCCACGTCCGAGTCCCCGGAGAGGAGCATCACCTTGGTGGACTGGCTGTGCGAGCTGCCGCCGCCGCCGCCCCTGCCTCTGCCGATTCCACAGGGCAGGCCCATGGTGAACAGGCGCCAAATGCGTCCTCGTTGAGCTGAAGTGAGTGAGTGTGCTTGTGATTA